AATAAAACACCACAAACACCTGCTCCCACGGCTGTTTGTCTCGTAACTTCACCGTTCATCACTTAACAATATTTTTCTGTCGAATTATATGATTGTATGCGAAACTTGCTTGAAATTCAACTTGAACTAGTAGGAAATGATAGTTCTTCCGCTTGCAGATTGTGCTAACATGCCTCAATGGACATCTGAGCGACATGCAGTCAGTCCTTTGACTAAATGTTGTCGTTGATCGGATCATCCCTACGCGCCTAGACCGAAAACGATAACGGGTAAATTACCCAGAACTTGAATTGCGTCATCCAAACTGCTCGCCAGTTTAAATCTTCGCTGTATGCTCGAGGTATGGTTTTAGCAAATTAAATGGGATCGAAAACAGCGAGCTCAAGACGAGCTCAAGACATATGCGGCAGCTAGTAACTGTGAATTAATTATCTCCATGATCCTGTTCGGTCTAGGCGCGTCGGGTTGAAGCCGATCAAACGACAACGTTAACTCAAAGGACTGTATGTCTAAAGTGTATTCCACATGCATGGTTGGGGGTAAATCAGCTTTGAATCGTGCGTTCCGTTTAATAGGCTCACAGTCGGCTCCACAGACAGACTAACCGTACCTCATGTTTCATTGTGACGTGTTACAATAAAATCATTTGATACAGCACCCAGGAAGTGACGTAAGCACGAAAGAAGTGTGAAAAGAAGCACGAGCTGTACAGGCAATTACTACCGTTATCGTTGAAGTGCGACCCGCGAAGTTTCATACTTGTTTGCTGACTAGCATTTCAACGGCGACCGTCAATCAAAGAACTGGAAAAAAAGACAATATTATGACTCAATTAAAGATTTCAATCCTCTGATCCTCCAAAATATTTAATTTTGTTGAAAATCTCCCACAAGATGTAATTGTTAAAAAAATTCAGTTTTTTGATTGACGGTCTTTGAAATGCTTGTCGGAGAACTCAACGACAATGGTAGTAATATGCCTTATATATAACAGTCACTCTAGGCTCAGGCTGGAAATCCGTGGAGCCTACAGTCAGACTGATTTGGACGGAACCAAAAGAAATCGGATTAATTTGAATCCTTCTTTCTCGGGTACCACAGACACTCTCACTCAAGGCAACTGAGTTCTTCTCGGTCATAGATCAGGTGTAAGAAAGCAAGTGGACTCTTATTAACCCATGGGGGAATCCTTCGCTTAGTCCTATGCGCATTCTTGTTCAGAAGATCATTGTTGATACAGATTACTTATAACTCGTTTTACTCAAAAAAGGAAATTCACCATTAACTTTTACAGAGCTTTAAGTGCATCTGGTATGAAACCAAAGTTTATATGACCTATAGGCACTGGCAAAGAACCTGCTTGCGTATATGCTAGAAGTTAACACCATTAACATAAGATGTAAGCTTACTTATTTATCAGCACATGCTTGTCGTTTACCCGCCAAGCGACTCTTAACTGTAAGAAGCAAAATTAAAACAAATGTTTGCAATTTACGGGTATTATAAGTTTATTGAACCACTATATGTAATGAGCCTTCTTAGTTTTAGGTCTGGTTGACGCATAAAAACAGTAACTTTCAAATACAAGTGTAAGACTCTTACAGAGGATGTTTAGTGTATTGCGGTGGAGGTTCGTCAGGAACTTGTTGCTGGCTTGAACTTGCTTGTGGATCGATATCAGCTGGTTGAGGGGCCTGGTAACCAGAACTAGGTGCTTGGTAATCAGATCCTGGTGCTTGGTGACCAGACTGTGGAGCTTGGTAATCAGACTGTGGAGCCAGGTATCCAGATTGTGGAGCCTTGTATCCAGACTTTGAAGCTTGGTAATCAGACTGAGGTGCTTGGTGACCAGGCTGTTGGACTGAGTAACCAGGCTGTTGAACTAAGTAACCAGGCTGCTGAATTGAGTAACCGGGTTGTTGAACTGAGTAACCGGGTAATGTGGTTGTCATTACAACGGGGCTTTGAACCACCACGGTGCCCGGTTGACCCTGAAATGAGGGATCATCATCATCTCAATAAAACATTATCAGCGATTCCAAGCATAAGCATTGGGATAACGATGATGATAATCATCTACGAGCAAGAATGTGTGCTAGGTTTAATACCTGTGTGGAGCAGGTTCCCATACAACCAAAGATTGAGCCCGTAAATGAAGCAATGCCACCGATAACGCTGAAGATAACGATAGTCAATAGCGATCCGATGATGGAGTCCATTTTCGATTGGTCGCAGTATAAATCTTTGCTTGATTTCGCTGTCAAATTCACAAGGAAATACAGAATTAAATTTTCAACCTGTGTGCCTGTTCCCTACTAATCTGGGAATACCATAATATTATGAAATGTCTTAAAGAGTACCACATTTTGGACCCCAAAATGTATCAACTAAAACGGCAAGCGGTTAATAACTATATATTGACCCCGTATTTATAATGAGCAATTCAGTTCAATTCATCAGCCCCGCTCATGCAGATTATTTTTAAAAAAATCTTTTTTATTCTTTTATTTTTGTTATTTTTAAGTCAAATATATCAACATTTGATAGAAAACCTTCTCAATTGATAAATAAAATACTTAATTGCCGAGAACGGAGGCAATAAGCCTATACAAGCATATGGAACCTCTGCCTTGATTCGGCACTTCTGAGCATGCGGCGAGTTATCATCCAAAAACGTGCATCAAATATCACGTATAAAACTACTCAACGTCCACTGGCAAAAGTTGAGCCTGCTACATGCGTGCGCATAACGCAATCAAATTATAACTGGTCACAAATGAGTCCATTCTTTTGAATGTCATTGTGTGACGTTATATGCACCTATTGACGAAAATCGGCGTATCGTATGTTCAAGGGTGCCGGTTTCAGGCAGAAATTCTCCAGTGAACAACAAAAAGAAAAGCCAGTAAAGCGAAAAGACTCCGAGAGATTAGGGTTCTAAACAGCTCAATTTTGTTAAGTTCAAACACACTTACCGTAACCATATTGGTAGCATTTGCAGTTAAAACCTGTCTTCTGACAGTACCAACTCGCCTTTTCTTTATAATAGGCGTAACGTACCCCTGCAATGATACTTTCGATGAACATAGCGATAACTACGCAGATGGTGACGACGAGGAAACCAATTATCTGACAAAAAACACAGGGTCGTAAGATATGTAGAATTTATTATAGAAGTAAAACTATTGCCATAGTAACTCACCACTCCTCTGTGACGTTTCCACCACGTGACCATCCCTAAAACCCCAGCGATAAGGAGCTGCAATGAAGCAAAGTATGTATGCGGAATACCATCACGTTAATGAGCGTGTTGGAAGCCTATTTACTGTACACACTTGGATGGCTCCCAACACGTTTATTTTTAATGACTCGTTATAAGACAGGAAATTGATTTACCGAATTTACTCGCACATTTCAATCGTAATTAAATTAATAGGATTCTTAGAGAAATTTAATTTCAATACGTCGTTTATTTAATAATAAAGCTAGGATTTCTATCAACTTGGTTGACGGTAACAAATCATTTCTCGATCATTAGCTTGTTTTGATAGATCAACTAACTTGGCGGTTGTTTCATTGTTGTTCATATTTGAAGGGATTTTAAGTCACATGGTTACACACACTTTATTGGATTCATGGCTTTCAAAAAATTATCTAAAAACGGAAATTGAAAATAAGGACGGTGAAAAAACTTAAAATGTGAACATTAGAGTTCTCGAGCCATCATCTAAACTTCATCTATGCACAACCAATATAAATATATATAATTTATTGCTAAACTTTTTTTCCCTTTTTTAACGCTGATTAACATTGTATGACGTAGAGAGCAATTACATTGTTTGCTTCCCTTATGCCTTCAATATACGAAGAAAATTCACTAAAAAGTGTCTTAAAAATCGAATACTGAATACGGTTTGCATTTTCATTTAAAAAGCCAGCCAATGAAAGAATTTCATAAGGCCGAATTAGACGGTACAATTTTCGCCTACAACCATCGCATCGCAGTCGTAGAGTTTTATAACGTGATTTAAAATCCTGCGTGGTCGTAGCGAAATTTGAGGGAGGGAGTCTGTGGGTAAATTTGTGGGGGAGTCCGTGGGGAGATAAAAATGTCGGACAAAAGAACAACAACAACAACACCGATTTTGCCAACAAAAACAAGCCCACCAAGTGATACGAAGACAAAAAAAGATAAATTTAATTTTACTGATGAAGGAGTTGATCTTTTAATCGGTCTCTGGAGTAAAAAGAGTGTTTTATTCAACTGTAAACACGTCGATTGCTTCAAAAAAAGATGCAAGACACGTAGGGAATTGTAGGTAAAATGTAAGTATGGCGTGAGCAGGTTGCATGCGATGGTTGTAGGCGAAAATCGTACTGTCTAATTCGGCCTATAGAAGTACATACCAAGACGCCASACCACAATCCATCGGCATTGGCATCTCCATTCGCTATCAGAACAAAGCCTGGAATCAAACATCCAACACCACAAACGAGCAATAAAACACCACAAACACCTGCTCCCACGGCTGTTTGTCTCGTAACTTCACCGTTCATCACTTAACAATATTTTTCTGTCGAATTATATGATTGTATGCGAAACTTGCTTGAAATTCAACTTGAACTAATAGGAAAGGATTGATGTTCCGCTTGCATATTGTGTTCCTATGCTTCAATGGACACCTGAGCGATATGTTAAAGTGCATAGTTGGACTAAAATCTACCGAAATTCAAATTCAACTAAACCTTCCCTGAAATAATCTCTTTTTAGACCCTTAAACGGGTCTTATAATCACTGGTTAAAGTTTTTTCTTAATATTTCAATGGATAGGAATATTTTTACGAATTTTTGACGATGTCTCTGACGTCATCGGCTCAACATTAAAAATTGCTCCACTTCGCTCCAATAGATTATTTAATCCTTTGTAAATAACTTTCTTTCTATAAAGCCCAAAGGTCAGCTAACCGACTTGATTTACTCGTTTTTCTTTCATTCAATACTGAGCTATCATAAAACTATTCGATATTTTATTTGATTACAGTGTTGCGTAAACGGCCGCCACAAACTCCTTTAAAGATTCGCAAGAAATATAATACTTCCCATGTCGGAATATCAAGTAAAAACATTAACTAGTGTCTATTAAAGCCTTAAAGGTTATTCAAGTAAATTTTACAGCGAAATTAAATTTCGGACGATTTTCGTCCAAGTATACCACTTTAATGAGTGTCTTCCACTCTATGCAAGCCAACAGGGCTTGCTCTTTTTGATGGTTGTGCTTTTTTTAAAATAGTTTTTATCAAATTTCTGTCTTCTTGTAATTCATCCAATCACAACGCGTAGTTACGGTACGATACGGTACGGTTACAGTGGTACGATACCCACGGCTACAATAAGATACGGTAACGGCTTAGGACTTTCTGTATCCGTTTCCCATTCATACGAAAAGCGCTTATCATTATGATGCACGAGAAGAGTTGAACGTTAAATAGTTGAAAATCCAAGTTTATTGTTATTGAATTAACATACCAATGTTCTTAGGTTTAACAAAAAGCAAGCTTCATGGGGACCGTTCATAATTTATGGGTTGGAGAGGGCTATGCAAATTTTTCAAACAAAATTTAGGGGTCTATCAAACTGATGATAGCAACAGGAAAGAGGAACTAAGGATTTTTAATAACATGCGGATCGAAAGTTAAATGCACCAGCCCTCCCCCTCTCTCTAATCAATGTCCGGCCCCGGCCTAAGATACRAATTATCATTACTACATTTTACGCAAAAAGCTAGGTTAACACGCGATTATTCCTACCGCTAACTAGACTATAGTGTGTTTTTATTTATGGCGAGCTTGGGCTCCCTGTTTGTTAAAGCACACTAGTCATTGCTTAATATTTTTTTGTGTATTGCGGTGGAGCACCACCAGCTTGTGGAGGATAGGCAGCTGCGGGCTGAGGAGCATACCCGGGTTGTTGTTGTACGTAGCCAGGCTGTTGTTGTACGTAGCCAGGCTGTTGTTGTACGTAGCCAGGCTGTTGTTGTACGTAGCCAGGTTGTTGGGCAACGTAGCCAGGCTGTGTAGTTGTTGTCACGAATACAGGTTGTTGGACCATCACGGTGCCGGGCTGCCTCTATAAGGAATAATAATTGGGCTTTTAAAATCTTTTTATTTGTCGTTGCCCACTTCTTTCTAGCCAGAAACTATCGGTTTGTCTACGTTCAATACTCTAAGTACACAACTCGCGTGTAGAAGTGACAAGTAGGATTCACCATGGTATGCCACAAAAAAGCATTGTATAACTAGTTTATATTCTAGATAATTGAAAGCACACCCAGACTGCATTGTGTGATGGGAAGGAGGCGTGCTATACCTGAGTTGTTGCACAACAAGTTCCCATGCAGCCGAAGATCGATCCAGCCAAGCTGACGACGGCACCAACGACATTGAAGATGGTGATGGTGAGAAGTGCATTCATAAGGTYGTTCCAGTTGCCACAGAATGACCCTTTTGAAAACAAGACATTAATATTACGGACTATTTCGAGTTTATTTTCTCAATTGCTTTATAGAATTCCACGGGTTTTGCTTTCAGTAGTGAATATTTTACTTACATTCAAGGCTGACACTGAGCAATACGAGTTTATATTCACGATAGATGCCATCATGGTTTTTATATTATATTGTAAATTTGTCATGCGGTCTTCCAGGGGGACAAAGGCATTGGAACAAGAGATTTTTTTTAAATGATCGGCTAGTCCTAGAGATTTTGGTTTTTGTTCGTACGATATYGTAAATTATCTAGACCTTGGCTATTTTATCCGCCTCAGCCTACGGCTTCGGCAGATAACAATACCTTGGTCGATATCCACTTACTATCATATCTCTCACTTCCACAGATGCAACTGCTCCCAGAATCGTAACACTGATGTCCTACAAACGCTTTGAACAAACCATACGACACTCCTGAGGTTATAGCCTGAGAGGACGCAACAATAACCATGATGATAGTGATGACAAGGAAGCCAATCAACTGCAACATGTACAAGTAATATGTGTCTGAATTACTTTATAGAGGTTTTGTATGATCACGTGCTGGCGGCCATGTTGGATGGCAGAACAACAGAATCCCTTTACTCTCGGGAATTAGTTCTTTTCTGGTGAAACAATACACTACTTTGCTAATACAAAACTCGTTCGAGGTTTTACTCAGGGTGCAAAACAGGTGGCACGGCGGCCAAATCTCATTAGTTCAACAAATTCTGATCTTTCCGTCCTGAGTGCGTATTGTATCGATCCTGCCATCTAACATGGCTGACACTATGTGATCGTGTGAAAAACCTTTATTGCTTGATTTCATTATGTATTTTATTTCTTGTCTCTTGTGGAACGCTCATCAGCAGAATTACATAAGTTTTCTGGCTGACAGCACATGTTGGTTGGTGTTTGACCACCATTTGAAGAAGTTAATGAGATCCAAAGACTTCAAAAGCATATTCAGTTAATGTCACTCACCACTCCTTTGTTGCGTTTCCACCAGGTGACGATGCCCAAAATCCCGGCAATCACAAGCTGCAAAAAAGGAAAGTTAGTAAAATATACTGAGACCTCTTTCAATATTATCTTGGATGTAAGCCTAAGCCTAACAGGAAGATCCAAAATAAATCACGGCACTTTTTCTTCATTGTGTATTGAATTTTTGTGTTATATCTTTTGGATTTACTTAGTCTCACATCCAAGATAATCAGTATTCTTGAGAGTGTAACCACATGACTCGAAATCTCTTGAGATATAATGATAGATAGCACTAAAAGCCGCCATGTTTGTTGATCGAATCAGTTGATGTAATGTATTCAGAAAATCCGGCTATTGTATTCTATTGTCGCTCTATCTTCTTTGATTTTGTATGAATACATTACTGTTTTCAGTTCAGGTATGATGGGCTTTGCCAGGCGATGGAAGTATTCGGTAAAGACTTATTTATTTTAAATTGCATATGAACAATATGAACAATAATTCATTTGATGAATATATTTATGTTTTCTTATAAATTRCTTATTTGTCATGCTATCTTAGACTTTAGATTTTTAGATTTTCCGATTTTATAATTATATAATTATATTAATAGTAATAATAATAATGATATAATAATAATGATAATAATAATAATAATAATAATAATAATAATAATA